TGTAATCGAAGGTGTGAGCGCCCACACCCATGCTCCCAAGTGCCGGCCACTACACGTTACCACGTATGGGCAGTGAAATCTGAGAGGAAAATAACACTGCAGGTGGCAGCTGTGGAGACTGGCAACGGGGAGGTGGGGCTGCCTGAGCCCCTTCATTTTCCCTACAGTTTGCCATATAAATGAAAAGCACAGACACACTTTTTTAGTTTCACTTCCACCCCTTTTATTCACGGACTCAAATTTATCACACACGTCTGTTCTATGCTTAGCTACAAGAGTCAACAAAAACAAAGCAAAACCAAAAAACTCAAAAGCCAGCGTCTTTGATGATTAAAGTCTATCCCATTCCCAGCTTCTTCTCTCTACAGGGGAAAACCCTAAGGCGGAAGGAACTAGTCTGAGAAGGCAGAGCATCTCCCACCTGCTCTTTTCTGGCACGCACAGCTTACTGAGTGCCCGGAAGTGCGGGTGCGTCTGCCTCGCTGTGCCACCCTCGTGTCTTTCCTGAGCTCTTTATTCAGGCTCTGTTGAATGACACAGCTCCAGGAAGATTCTTTCAGGATTCCAGCTGCAGGAGTGACATTTAGCATACTCCCTGTGGTGGGACCTACTCACTCCATGGGACTCCCAGGGGACGCTTTGAAGGCGTCTGTGAAGTGGCAGCCATTTTTTCATCTCAACTTCCAGCCGGAGGAGCTGTGGGCAAGAGGGCAAGACCACTTGGCACCTGGAAAGTTCTGAGCTTTGGGCAGACTCCTCAGGGTCGCGGTGGCCCAGGGTTACGGGCACGGCATCTACAGGGTGTGAGTGCTAGAGCAATGGCTGATTTCCCTAGAGAAACTTTATGGGCAGAATACAAGGTCTATGTCTGTGTAACATGTACATGTCAATGGATAAATTTCCCGGGTCTTTTAGTGATGTCGAGTTTAAAATAAAGCCTTAGTTATTAAACTTGAGATTAAGAAATCAGAAGCCACGTGGGTTGGCCAAGGCTGAGAGGAATGGGAACAGAACCATTGTCTTCTCCATGACTGTTTTTTTTTTTCTTAAAGGTTTATTTATTTATGTATACAGAAATGGGATACAGGCCAGAGGTGCAGGGGTGGTGAGAGGCTTCACTAGAGACAAGTGGGGGGTAGAACAGGCAGATAGAGGAAGTACATTGCTGAGGGAGCAGCTGGTGAGTCAGGAGAGGTCTGCCGCACCATGTGGATCAACTCCGGGCTGGGGATAGAACTTGCATTGAAGCGGCTGCAGCCAGCTTGCAGTGCTGCGTCCTTACCTGTTGCGCCCCATTACTGTTTTTTTAAGGGTGAATGCTGGCTTGGTTGTTAATACCGTGCTGAATAAAGGGCAGGGAACAGAGTATGGGAACTGGATTGTGACCTACGCAGAGAGCATCTCACAGGGAGTTCTTTTTCTAGAAGACAGCCTGAGACTTAGGTCAGAGGATGAAGGCAGGAGCAGAAGGGAGGGAAAAGGGCAGAGATGAGAGGAGAAAGGGAAGTAGGAGAGAGGCAGGGCAGAACAAGTGACATTTGCTTAGCATTCATTATGTGTCAGGCAGTGTGCTTTCACATAAATTACTTCATTAAATTATTATATCTTCACGAAGATAGCGAAATAGAATTTTATCCTTGATTTTTAGATGAAGAAATTTAAGCCCAGAAGAGTTCAAACAAACAAACAAAAAACTTGTTGGAAGTCCCAGAACAAGTAAAAAAGGTTGGAGGGAAACATTTATGTCTTGAAAACTCCAGCTCCTTTCTCAACACCATGTCTGCTGGCAGTTTGCTTCTGGATAAAGATAAAGTAGCAAAGGCGGACCTTTCATTGATCCTGTACATATAGAAGGGTCTTTATTTAGTGCCAGTGGAGATCTGAGGGAAGGCTGAGGGTGGATTCTCTAGTACAGGCACCGCCTCAAAATGATAATGTCAGAAAATGAGCTAAGCACTTCATGAGAAGGAGCAGGCTTAGCAAGAACTATTTGTAACAAGCACTTTTCCATTGTTCTGGCTAAGAGCATAATCTTGACATAAGACATTCCCTTCAAGGTGCTTGGTTTGCTCCCATCCAAATATGATTCCTTTCTATCTGGGAAGATTTGTGAGTTGTCAGAGGCATTTGAACTTTTTTCCTTCTGGAAAACCAAACGAAACAAGAAAAGGGAGACCTGAAACAAAACCAGAGGTACTGGAGCATGACACAGCGTAGGGACTCAGCCATTACTAGCTGAAGTCTTGAGTGGATGTTCAAAGTTCTCTTGGATAAAGCAATCAATCACGTTAGTGAAGTCATGGATGCCATAGAAACTGCATGGAAATAGGATTACTTGCAAGCTTTTACTGGTTTAATTGTCGTTGGGCCACTTCCTATAGAAAAACTCTTCATTATCTCAGGGATGATGACACTACTTAAGCCAGGTTTCCAGTTTGTTTCTGGACCATCCATCACAGAATGGACCCAGCCCATATCTTAGGGGACAGGTACTGAGATCTTACGTTTATTAACATCCTTCAGAAGTACATTATTCCAACTAAAGTGTTAGATGACTGATACAGGGCTTAACCAATTGTAGATCCAGGACTTCTTGAATAGAGCTTAGATACTAGTCCATTTATGTGTAAGTTAGTTAGAACTCAATCTTGTTATAGTACAGATTCTTGACCAACATTTTCCAACCCCAAAGGGACAACGTTGAAGCCAGATTTTCTTTATTTCAAATAAATACCCCAGGTGACTCAATGCAGGAATTCTACTAACCTAACACCTTCTAGGAAACTATTGTCAAATAGTTGTGCAACCTTTGAGAGGACCCTTTGTCAGTTACCTTACTCTCTCAATGTAGTATAAACTCTTTGTAAGTAGTTTTAAATGCCAGAAACTTCTTATTTGAATGAAAATATAATCTTTTTCGTTCTTTAGAACTACACAGAAGACTTCAGTCCCCAATATTATTCTCAAGAAAATAGATTTGATCAAAAGAAAAATGCTTCTCTGCCCTCCGGATTCCTATTTTGCTTTCAGCGGAGAGTGGGGAGGTGAGGAACATGCAGGTGTCCAAGAATGTATTCTTAATGAGAGACAAGGGGCATAGCAATGATATTTAGGAAACTTGTAATATGTAGGAAACTTGGAATTCTCCTTTCCAAGAATAATATCACAATGTACATAAACTACCAACCCCCACCCCGAAGTGTGTTATACTTAGCTGTCCTAGATATGGGATAGTCCTGTTTGTCAAATGAATGCAAAGAAAAAGGTTCATGAGGAAGGAGGTAGAACTGACTCAGATGGGGCAACGAGCTTCCTGTAGGAAATCAGGGGGAACCCTCACTTCTCCTAGGGGTTTACTTCTGCCCGCCCAGGGAAGGCAGCTGTCCTTACACCTGAGGAAGTTAGCTGTTAGGGGCAGATACAGAAGTGACTGGTTAGAAAAACATGGGCATGTATCCTAGTACCATGCTGGATTTCCTCAAACTTGCAGTGTCATTAATGCATCCCCTTTGTGTGCCTACTTTTAGCAGCCTAAATATGCTATTTTAGTCACAGATTTCAAAAGAAATGAGTTACTAATGAAGTCACGTAAAGCAATAAGAATGGGTTTGGACATGAGGAAAGGGTCCCAGCACTGTCACGGGGCAAGGCGTTAGAAAAATAGGCCTCCCAGTTATTCATTTACAAAGTGAGAAGAATTATAAGCCATTTCCAGTAGCGTGTAACAATTATATGAGGAAACTTAACTCAGAAACAGCATCCGTGTTGCTAGTTGTATTAATGGAGCTCTGGTTTGCAGGCTACTCAAGAACCAACCCCAAGTAGTTCCTTGTCAATGGTACTTCAAGTGATGACATAGGGCCGGATGAACAAAAGAGGGAACAGAAATGAGTTCATTGAGTCTACGAATGTTCCCTTTGCTTCAATTTTCCCATTCAAGTAGGGAGAGATTGAATCTGGGAGGGGCCTTGAATCTTGACTCATCTGTCTGGGAAACTGCTTTTGTTTACCCACTTCTCTTTGGGAAGTTTATCTTTTCTTTTTGCCACGCTGGCCACTGACAGGGGACAAATCACACAACAGAAGCCTTGCTTTGTTTAGCTGTCTTCAACGACACATTGTTTATTCAGATTGTTTATTCTTTGGGGGTGGAAAATAAGAACAGAGGGTTCTAGAATGTGAGTTCAATGTTTTCTAATCTGGAATGATTAGACGCTAGATGTTCTCAGCCATAGAATCAAACTTAAGAGAAAGCATTTATGTCACAGCCAAGCCCAATACCTGGACTTGCAATTGACTGAGATACAGGGAACTTGAGGGGCATCAGGATGTCTCCAGCATCCAAGCTGTGTCATTTCTGGGATCCCCCTCCCCGCCTGCCCCCCCAAAAAAAAAACAAAAAAACCGCCTTGCCGAAACTAAAAAAATGGTGAAAAGTTTCCAAAAAAAAAAATTAAAGTGCTGATCCTCCATGGCTGGGAGCCCCACAAATGATGGGGTTCTGCAGTTCCAGCTGTTGGGGACCCTGAGTGAGTGTACTGCCTCTCCTGAGAGAAGGGCTCCCCCGCAGATCCCCCTCATTGTGAGACCAGTGTGGCCCAATGCATTGTGATCGCATATTCCACAGACTGATTTTGAGCTCTCGAACGAGAAGCTGTGCTTGCAGACAGTCATTTCAGCGGGCGTGGCTGGGCTTGCGCTCAGGTCTTGATGTCAGTGTGGTGACTGGCGAGCTTACCCCTCACCCCCCAGAGCACAGGACCTTGACACTCAGTCCAGATTTTTATTTCCTTAATAAAATATGCCCTCACTTTTGTAATCCAGGAGTGTGAGGATACATTTGTTGCAAACTGCATGCAACTAAAAGAGGGATTCCTTTTGAAACTATATCCTCTTAATAAATAATTTTTGATCTACTATACATAACAGTAGTGCATTTCTTGTTAAAACGGCAAGCTTGTTTTAAACCAAAATGAAAACATTCATTTCTTTATAAATATTTTAAATAGTTTAAATACATATTTCATACCAAGGATATAAAAATAGCCTCTTTTTTTTGATAAATAAAGACATATTCATTTACATGGCAAATAACGTGCAGTAGCTAACCACTGGCCACCAACTCTATTGGACTGATTGTCTAGGAGATGACATGCAGTGATAATTGTCCCTTTGCCTTCACAAAAAGAAAAATAGATCAGCAGGAGCTGGGCTCCTGGGGCCAACAGTGCTATGGATATTGTTCAGGAATGACAAACAGGCACTCAGAAAAAAAAAAACACAACAAACAAAAACCCTTTGCTGCATTTCACAAATGCCACCTCGGACAAAACGAATCCACAAATTCTTTGTCTGGGACTTCTAGCTGCTCAGACCCTCAGGGTCTTTGGACTTTTACCCAAGTCTGTCAAACAGACCAGTAAGTTAATACCTGTACAGGAAAATGTTTCTATTCTGCTTCGAGGATCTAGAAACTGGTTGCTACGGGGTGGAGTTGGTGCTACCTTTCCCTGGCTTCTCACATGCTCTTCTAAGGGTTGCCAGCTCTGCCTCTCCTTCACGCCTACCGAGGCAAGAAAGGCTGTCATGCAGTGGTGGGTGTGAGGCTGGCATTTGCCTCGTGTGCGTTGGTCTCATACATTTATGGCTTTAATATCTTTCCCTTCTGCTGTGCTCGTGACCACTTCCAGGGGGAGGCTCTCCAGGGGTCTGGTAGACGCTGCTGCCATTCCTTCCCGGTCCCAAGATCCTGGCAGGTTTTCCAGACTGAAGGAACTCGCAGCTGCCTGGCTGAAACTGCCCTCCTCTGATCTGCTGGGCAGAACCAGGTGCAAAGATGTTTCTGAGGAGGAACACACAGAGGACGAGAGGGTTGCTGAAATGGACTGCAGAGGTGTCAGTGTGGTATCTGAGTGTGGAGAGATGCACCTTAGAAACTGCACGTGACCTTCTTGGACAACCTGGTAGTGGGCAGGTGAATAATCAAGATTTCGAGTACGATAAAGTTCAGGGTCTGGGGGACTTTGCTCATGAGCTCTAGTTTGTTGGGGGCTGTTCCCCACAGAGGAGGGATCCACACTCCAAATGTCTGAGGTGACGTCGCCATGGCAAAGTTGTGCTTGGGTGTAAGCGGCTCCACCTGCTTGCAAGTGTAGGCAAGGTTGGGGTGCACTCCAGGCCATCCTGGTCTGTAAGCTGTCCCTAGAAGGATACATAGAGGGAGTGTGCAGAGAGCAAAATTGTGATGACTGCTGTGGTGACAGAACATTCTCTAGAAGTTGGATCACATTTCTCATGTCTTTCCCCAACTGGGAGACTTCCTGAGTCAATGTTGTTACCTGTGTGGGTAAAGCAAAGAAAAAGACAACAGTTAGAGATGCCTGATGGTAATTTAGAGCAGGGAGGCCCAGCCCAAGGGGTGAATGGGGACGTTGGGCAGCTGATCTGAAGCTATCCTCATTCAGCGAACACCTAGATAGACCTGATGGCCTGGAATTCTTGATGAGAGATTCTGGGGTCCTTGAACAAAAAAAGAGATGGGTGTCCATTATTATTTGCATCACCTAGATGCAGACAGCATCTATGTGTCCCTTGGATTTAGTGGGGTACACAGCAGGGCACACAAGTCACCCCATAACCTCAAAATAGTGTAGAATGATGGGTCTGTATGTAAAGTGCTCAGTGGGTGCTGTCCAGAGCAGAAGCCTAGACAGTGACAACTTTCACTTCTGTCATTGTCTTAGGTCTGTGCTATAACAGGACAGAGACCAACTGGCCTTTAGGGGTGGTGATGATGAAAGCAAGAACTCATGCATATTTACTGGGAGAGCGTTTGTGGACAAGGGAAGCTGTAAAATGAGAGTCCAAAAGCAATAAAAAGAACTGCAAGATGGGAAGAGCAGATGAGCACCTTCGGGAGCACTGGGGTCCACCAGTGACCCGGAACTCATGAAATTAGTCCCAAATTGTGCAACATACGCTTGGTTCACTTACAGATTAAATGTGGCCTAGGAAGGAGACATGACCCCAAACACTTAAGAATCACTGAGGAGACTTCATTGTTTTGTATCTAAAATCAGCGTAAAATTTAGTAGAAGATTTATTTTCCTCACAAACCACATCACTCTTTTTTTTTTTTAAACTATGGAAGATCACCAGAAGGTTGAATTTGACTTAAATCTAGCTTTGAAATTTTTCAGGGTGAGGGAAGCCTGTATTTCAGAAGACAGGACACATATTTCCTAGTCTTTTGTTAGATTCCAAACACTAATCCCACCCTTGTGATTTTTTTTGTTGCTTTCATTGCTGTGACTGCATTTTATAAGGGAATTCCTATGCCTTGATTTTCCTCTCATGAGCCACAAATTCCCATAAAAGTGGGAAACAACACCCACCAGAAAACCCCACCAAACCAAAAAAATCAGCCCAACCAAGGCTGCTCCTTGGGCCAGACTTTTGTCCCATTTAAGGACACAGCCCCAATCCATTCAGCAACTTAATTCCATCCATTTCCTGCAAGTGCATTCTTGAAACTAATCCTAGTTGGCAGACCCAGCAGGAGGCAGTACTGCTCAAATCAGGCATTAAAAAAAGGCCAGGAGGAAGATTTTTCACCCTTCAGGCAACCAACGGGTAACACCTGCCTGGGAATTGCCAGGCCAAAACTATTTCTGCCTTGCCGCCACCGTGGTGCTCTGGGACTCAATCAAACACTTGTCCAGGCTTTTCAGCCCATCAAAAGCCACAGAGAGAAAGCCACAGGATTGACAGAAAGGCAACTCCTACTCTCACATCTGAGAAACGAACCAGTGACTCTTAAGATTCTTTACGTTGAAATTTTTACTTCAGTTTGTCAACTTCACGCCCTCCACCCCCAGCCCAAGCGTCAGTTCTGCAATTTATGGGCCACACTGAGTCAGCATCTGGATCTTGGCTCTGCAGAGTCTCACTCAGGGGTTCCTTTTTGAATCGACTAATACTTCTGCCGACATTTCAGAAGAGAAAGCTGACAGCAAATGAAAATGAACCACTCAGACGTATTAAGCCACCTGTTTCTGTAGGTTGTCCAAGTTTAATTGATGCTTCAAATTCACCAGGGCTTTGGGCACTCAACTCCAGTGTAAATGTTTTCGTGCTTTATTAGAACTGAATAAAGACACAATCTTTGAAAAACAATTTTACATTTCAGGCACATCAGTAATTATGTTCCTCAGTGAATGGGTGAGTAAATTTATAAAAGGAAGTGCTTTTTGGTAACTTTTCCCTCTTGGTCAACAAAAGGAGCTAACACAGGCAGGGGTTTGTTCTCTCCCACCTTTAAAATGGAGACACAAAGCATCCGGTTCTATGGTATTTGTAAGAATCCCTTATCTCACAAACAACAGTTTTTGTTCTGAAGTTCAAGCTGTTGAAAGCAGTTGCTTTTTCTGTTGTGGCATTAAAAGCACTTAGAAAAGGAAATGTTGCTTAAGAGTTGAGATGCTGTTGCTTACACGGTTAGAATTTGTGAAGAGCAGAGATACAAAAACATAGCCTGATGGGTAAAAATTGTCTGAAACAGTAATTCAACATCAAGTAAGTTAGATGAATGCAGTAATAACAATAGTGGATTGCAATAAGTAAAATCTGGGACCAAACTATATTAATAGGCATATTTCAAACAATATTTTCTAGCTTTCAAAATAAGTAGATATTTGCCCGGGTTTGAAATTCCTTTCTGTGGTCACTATCTTGATATCCAACTTCTACTGTGCATTTGCCACATTTTGTGGTCATGAACTTTGGAACCTAGAGTCTTGACTGGCTCTGGGAGTATATAAACAAGCATTAACATTTTCAGAAAACAAAATTATCATATCAGTTTGAACTGGAGGAGCAAAGAGCTCAAAAAATAGAGGTTTCTTTAGCTCTAGAGGATAATGCTCAATTTATCTTAGGGGAGATTTGTCATTGTGTCACTGGGACACACCCCTGCATGTCATCAAAGTTACAAGAGGGTATTAATCCCTAATAGGCAAGGGATCTCTCTGTTCAGAAGAACAAAGCCAGCTGTCACATGGAGAGATGGCATCTCCTGGAGGTGGGGACTCTGGTGATGCTGAAAGTGACAATATGCTTCCCGTCCAGTTTCACTGCACCTTTATTTATTGCTCCTGTGGGCTTGCTAACGAAATTCAGTCTACAACATGAAAGACCTTTCTGCCAATGTACAAAGCATAGAATGCAATGCCTCTACTTTTTATGGGGGCTGAGGCTCTCCAGAAAAAGTAGAGGCGTTGCAGTCTTTGCTTTCTACATTGGATTAAGTAGAAGGTCTTTCCTGTTCTAGAATGAATTTCACCAGAAGATACACATTTGCTCAGGAATGGTGCTGGGACTTGTGGAACCTACTTTGATGAAACAGACTCCATCTGCCTTGTTAGGAATTCTGGGTGAGCTGCTGCGAGCAACTTGACTCAGCCCCCCCCCCCATCTTCTATTTATCAGTGACTTTGAAAGATGAGCAAGGCTGTTCTCTTTTTATCAGTGATTAGAAAGAAAAAAGAAACAGAACCGTTTCCGATGGTTGTTACAAAAGTCCCCACACCACCACTTGCAACTTGAAGACACTTAACTACTTACCAAGAGTTTCAAAGCAAAAGGCCCAAGTTTACACCATTGCCCTGTTTGGTCCTTTATTTTATTGAAAACTATTTTTATTGATAGGACACTAATCATAAAATTTTACAAGTGGCAGGTACCATCATTACACATCACTATCTGGAAATGCTACACTAAATCCACCCCAAAAGTCAAGTCTGTCCTTCACCATACAGTTGACCCTTTCTATCACCCCGATTCCTTTCTATCACCCCAGTTCCTTCTGGGAACTACTGACTTGATTTTATAGTTTAAAAGTTCATTTTTGTTTCATTTCATTTATTTGTTTGCTTGGTTCCTTTACGTAACACATGCGAGTTAAAATACAGTATTTTCTTTCTCCGACTCATTTATTTCACTAACTATACTACTCTTTAGGTCTGTCCATGTTGTTGCAAGCAGCAGTATTTTGTTTTTCTTTACTGGTGGAGCTGTATTCCATTGTGTACATAGATGACATCTTGATCCACTCATATGTCATTGAACACGGGTTTTTCCCAGCTCTTGGCTATTGTAAATAATGCTGCGATAAACATGGGGATGCAGCTGTCTCTTTAAATCACTATTTTTAATCCTTTGGGAAAATGCCCAGAGTGGGAAAACTATTGATCTTTTAAAATTCCCCTCTGCCCTGACCCCGCTGAAAAATGCCTGGGCCTGGCCTTTGGATGTGACCCAGGTCATGATCCCTAGCTCATATAAGCCTTTTCTTGGTGAATTTATAGTCCTACTATTACTTAGTCACACAGGGCTACTTGTGAACAAGACTCCGGACTCTTAAGGAAATGTCTTCAAATGACAACTTAAAATCAGCGTATTGCAGAGCTTGGTCAATAAAGAGAGAGAAAAAGAAATTGTTCATCAAATGCACCCAAATTTTCCCATGTAACTCAACACAGCTTAAAACTGGAAATGCACCCAAATTTTCCCATGTAACTCAACACAGCTTAAAACTGTCTGTCACTCATATTAAATTACAAATTAGGTATTAGAGTCCTTCACAAGCCCACCCTCCCTGTTAATGGCCTCATTGCCCACATTCCCTCTTGTAGCCATCAGACAGCTCACAGGGAGATTAAAAGTTCATGGCTCTTTGCATGACATTCTTGCCAAGTGGGGCTTTTCTCTGCCCCTCTCTACCTGGTAAGTTTCTTTCCCCCCTTTAAACGTCTATGCAAATTCTGTGTTTTTTTTTGTAGAGCTTTTCCTTGACAGATCACTGAAACTCACATATCAATTTGAAACCTCATCACCTTGTATCATTCAAGACTGTACCCCACAGTAGGCTGTCAGTTCCTTGAGGCTAGAAACTTACACATCTTTGTATCTCCTGGACTCAGGACAATACTACAACACAATGTACACTGGGAACTCCATGGATGTATACATGTAGTTCCTGCCATTTTAAAGAACTTAATTCTCATATTGCCTTTAATTTTGCTCTTATTTTGTCTCATGATTCACTGTAAGTAGTTGGGTAAAAAGCTGTAACTCCCTAAACTACACCCTTGGGTACCCTGTAGTACTTATGAGCAAATGGCATCACCACCATTAAGAATCCATCTTCTTCTTTTCTTCTTTTTAAAGATTTGTTTATTTATGCATTCAGAACTGGGGCACCAGCCAGAGGTGCAGGGGTGGTGAGAGGATTCTTCAGACACAGAGTGGGGAGCAGAACAGGCAGATCGATGAAGTACAC